GGGGGGGGGGCAACACAATAATACAGCTACATACCCTTTTAAACATTGCAAGGATCTCTGGAAATTCTACAACGAATCGTTCTTGTTGGTATGTTTTCATGCTGGCCTGTTTTCTGATTAACTGTTATTCAGAATCTACTAGGGGTCAGGCACTTTGATACCTTAACACACATTATTTGATTCAAGTCTCTACCAACCCAGTGAAGAACTACTGCTAGACTCCTTTCCCAATTCCAAGGAAGTTAGCCCAAAGTCACACAGTAAGTAAGTGGCGAAGCTGGGATTCAAACTCAGACAGTCCCTGATGGGAAGCACGGGCTCTGCAGCCACTAATGGAGTGTGGACGGCAGGCCCAAGACCAGGAAAAACACAGAACCCAGGCAGTCTCTGCCTTCTTTCTTGTCCACATTGATAAAGACACAAAGACTGACCAGGTTGAGAAAGCGTCTCTCTTCCTCTAAAGCAGTGGTTCCCAACCTTCTTCATACCGTGACCCTTTCATACATGTCCTCGTGTTGTAGTGACCCCCAACCATAACATTATTTTCGTTGCTACTTCATCACTATAATTTTGCTACTGTTATGAACCGTAATGTAAATATCCAATATGCAGGATTTATTTTCACTGTTAGAAATTGAACAAAATTAAAGCAGTGATTCATCACAAAATAGTATGTAAGTATATCTTTTGAAATATTTATTTCTAATTACAAATAAATGAAATGTTGTCCTGAAGCATGGTGTAGCATGGCTAACAGGGTACTCATATGTGGGCGGATCCACCTGGAGACAATAGGGGAGCAGTGTTTCAGTTCCTAAGACCATCACAAATATGTGTTTCCCGATGGTCAAAGCAACCCCTGTGAAAGGGCCGTTTGACTCCCAAAGGGGTGGCAACCCACAGGTTGAGAACCGCTGCTCTAAAGCTACCACAAGTCCCTGGACAGATATCCTTTGGGTGGCAGGCCAAGAGAGAAGGGGCCAAGATCTTGATGTTTTGTACTTCTATAAAACACAACCAACCAGAACCAGAACCCACTGCTCTCTTCTGGGCTCTAAGCTCACCTGCCCCAGAAGGTGGAGTGGGGCAGGAGAAGCTGAGTTAAGCAGTTTGGGAATGTATTTGTTTTGCCACCCACTCTCTTGCCTTTCTCTCTCAGCAGGCTCCACACCAGGAGGGAAAATCAGAAAATCTCATCACACTGTTAAAATCAAAATGCTATACCCCCCAACTGTATACCGAGAAGGAAAAAAAAAAATCAAGTCCTAATGTTTTTGACAGTTTTTGAAACTGTCAGAAACCCTGTGAGGTCTCACCAGAGATGCAGAAAGGCAAAAAAACTTCCCTAGTCCCCAAAGCAGGCAAATAACCCAGATCTCTGGACTCGTGTCCCTTATTGCCTTCCTCTGATTGTCAAGTATTGGGAGAGTAGGGAGATAAGAGTTAATCATTTAAGCCATACAGTACCCCAAAACTAGTTTTTTTTTCACCCATCAGAAACAAACAACCCAAAGAAGTCACTGTGACAAATATTTAAGTCACAGCTGAGGATACAGAGCCATTCTGTGAGAAGTTAACCTTGAAACATATGTCCTATATGGTCTGATGGGCCAAACAAATCCCCCACTTAGCCAGGAGATTGTCCTTCCACCAAGGAAAAACAGGCAGCACTAGCCAATATTTCTTTCCTCTGTGCACCTACCGGCTACAGACTCAACTGAAGTTTCTTGGCCAAACTATCCAAAAATAACTTGCAACGTGACTCAAGATACTATACACTGCGAGCTTAGACCCGGGGGTAAATCTTACTTCAACAACTAGTTTATTGGACATTCTTAGCTAACTTGCTTGCCTTCTCTGTGCCACTGTGTCCCTCTCTGGTGTATGGGTTTAATATTCACACATACAAGCTATTAAACTTGTAAGAAAAAACAAGGAGAAAAAAAACAATAAAAATTGAAGCCTAATTATTATTTATATATATATATATAAATGTATAAATGTATATATATATTTATTTATTTTAGTTTATCTCTTTCTTTCCCACACAGAGTACCAGTAACCAAATCCCATTACAATATCAAAGACCTAATATTTTTTGACAGCTGAAGTTCTGTTGTATTGAAGGTCACTTACAAAACCTGATCCTGTGGCTTGAAAACCCTTCTAGAAAGAAAGCCATTATAAAAGTACTTATTATCACAGAAATTGACTATAGCCTTGGGCCTTAGTCTCCCCATTTATTGATGGTAAGACTAAGGAAAGTTATTGGATGAAGGTTTATTTTTATGAGTAATTGGAATGACAACAGAATACACTTAAAATTTCTAATATTTAGTATTAAATTAACCAAAAATATGCACTTGCTGCTTATTGTGCTCTAAAGCATGTGTTGGTATGGACTTTTTTTCACTACCAGCAAGCATAATCCATTATCGGCGTGTGAACTGACAAAGCCACACAGTATTTCCCAGATGACCAACTCTGTCTCTCTTCCCATAAACACACAGATAAACAAACCATTCATAAGGAAGGGACCTGGTGGTGGAGTTTATATCTTCGCTGAGAACTGTTCTTTCACATCTTTTAGATGCTCGTACAGTTTGAATCACGACAAACAAACTTATGCTGGCCGCCTGGAAGCCCTAAACACAGTCAGTCATCACAGGAACATCATTTCTGAACCGCTGAATGAACTGGCTGAAATGACTCCATGGCTGTAGCAATGTCAGTACTGCTCCTACTGTTAGCCTTGTGACAAGACACAAATTCAATCTTCGAGCTGCATGTGAGCGGGTCCATGAGGAGAGAACCAGTGTCTCTCCATGAACATTTCTGAAGGATCTTTGAGTGACGTAACACCGGGTTGGCTTGTGTATGTGGTTAAGGAAGGAAGGGTTAAAATAAACCTTAACCCCAAAATACTCCCCCTGACACACCCCAGTCTTCTTAAAACCAAATAAGCGTTCATTTAACCAGTATAATATCTGCCGTGAGCATTATGCTCTTTTAAGATCTATCCATATAGGTTCAAATTGACAACGGTAACTCCCAAGATTCGATCAGAAGGGCAGTGAATTTGTGTTAACAGTGGAGAAGCAACTCGGAAACTGAGGAGGCGAATGAACGGTTGCGGAACTAGAAGTCATGAACATCGCTGCAATGTACGGAAGAATGTCCTGCCATGCATATTCTTACCAGTAAAAAAACGAGAAAAACTTTTAAAGTGAAATATACAACTTAATTCTGCCAGAAGAGGTAAAGATGTGAACAGCACAGAGCAGCATTTTATTGATAATCTGATATAATCGAGTAGTATGTTGCTGGAATTAATGAGTTTCCAGTAGCATCAACTTCTTCCTATCACTTTCTTGTCCAAAATCACTGATCTCTTAGGACAGCTGACAGTTTCTAAAGCCTGAAAGAAACTCTCTTTTCCCTCTGAAACTATATTTTGTTCTGGGAATTTTGTAGGCAAGGGATCCATTAAGTTGCTCAGCACCAAAATGTGTGTTTCAAAGAAAATGAAAGTTTTCTCCTATCCCACTCCTCATTAAACCCTTACAAATTAGAGCGTTTGGACACACCACCACAGCCAAAGACCTAAAGTTAAATTGGCATACGTTTTCCTCTTTTAACATATCAGTGATACCAGCAGAGAAGTTTATAGCAGATTAAAAAAAAAAAAAAACATGGGTAAAACAAGTAACCTGCCAAAGTTAAAGGAATGTAATTTGTTATCCTTCATTTTCTCACCTTCAACCCAGAAGGGAGGAAAACCCAGAAAAGCCAGAGTGGCAGGGAGTGCAGGGTGGCAAAGTCTATTTTGAAAATGGGCTGAGCATGGCCAGACCCTCTCTCTTAGTGCCCTGTGTCCTCATCCAGCTTTAATTTCGGTGGGGGTGGGGGCCCAAATCTGGATGATAATCCCTGCAGCAGAATCATCCCTTCACATGAAGGAATAAAGCCAGCAACTTTGCGTTCAACTGGGAAAATGAAAACGCTGGGATGGGGTTGCTGGAAATTCTATGGGCTTTTTCCCCACTGCCCACGAAAGCACAGCTGTAAAAATAAATATCTCGAAGGCCAGCGTCCGCGGCCACCAACAGTTCCCCCCTTCCTCTCCATCTGCCAAAGCTGCCCTCTCGGCACCACCTTCTCCAAGGGACCGCGAACCCGGGAGAAGAGAGCCGGCCGGCGCCCGCGGCGGGGACTGGGAGTCGCCACTCACCCGGGGAGGGGAAAAGCTCCAGGTCGACTTTCTCCGTCTTGATGATGGTGAGAGTTGGCTTCAGATCCACGGCCGCCTTCATGGTGCCAGCAGGAGCGGGGCAGCCGAAATGAGGGCAGCGTTGCTGGCACTGTGGAGGTTTCGTCTTTTTAATGGGGACTGGGAGCAGGGGCCAGGCAGGGGACGAGGGATGAGGGGTTCAGCCTTCCTCCCCCTATACTCTCCAATTCCCACCAACTGCCCCACGCCCTAACGGTGCGCGCCCTCCTTGGAAAGTTGGCACTGGGCGGCCCTGAGGGAGCACTCCGTCGGGCCCGCCCCACTCAGCGCGCCTTCTTCTCGGGTTCCGCGGCCTCTCGGCTCGGCCCCTGTCAAGCTACGCACTGGCTGCCCTCGCC